GGTCTACGTCGGGGCCTACGTCGGGGCCTACGTCGAGGCCTACGTCGGGGTCTACGTCGGGGCCTACGTCGGGGCCTACGTCGGGGCCTACGTCGAGGCCTACGTCGAGGCCTACTTCGAGGCCTACGTCGAGGCCTACGTCGGGGCCTACGTCGAGGCCTACTTCGAGGCCTACTTCGAGGCCTACGTCGAGGCCTACGTCGAGGCCTATGTCGGGGCCTACGTCGAGGCCTACGTGGAGGGCGCTCGTCAAACGGGCGAGAAGCCGTACATGTGCGACGAGTGCGGCAAGACATTACTCGCGCTCGGCCTACCTGTACGTTTTCACGTGTGTGTTTAACTGTTGTGGTTCTTTGTTATTTTAAAGATGGCAATTCTGCTGTGTATTCTACTGCTGTCCCTCCCGGCCATATCTAGTGCCAAACACAACTCCACCACTGGCAGCCCTCGTTATTTCTCGTCCATAGTTGATGCTCCATTTGTCACTACACCTGCTAGTGAAACAGCTTATAGCCACTAATACACTCCATCATTGTATCCTGTTAAACCCTATCTCTATCCTATTACTTCACCAGCACTCCTTCCAAACTTCATTATGCTCTTAAATATGTCACCATACGTAAGCAGTTGTTATTCGTCCAAGGTTCGTCGCTCTTCATCCTTTCACAGAAAATACTTGTGCAAACTATTAATTCTACTTTTCTTATTTCTGGGAGGTAGTAGAGCTTCACCCTGGCCCAAATGTAAAGAACTCATTTAATTCTGTAGATTTTTCTGGCAGAAAAGGTGTTGGTGTTCTACACGTCAACATCAGAGGGCTTGTGATTAAATTAAGTCAACTAAAACTAGAAGTGGCAAATCTGGACCCGGACATTTTCTGCCTTACAGAAACATTTCTCACTCCGGCCATCAATGACTTGCAGATTACGATTGACAACTACAACCTTTTTCGACTTGACCGAGGGTCTAAAGGAGGTGGAATTGCGATATATGTTCGTAGTACTATTGCATGTTCACCAGCTCATTCCTTGTTAAAGAAAAATTGCTTTGAAGGTCTGGCTCTCAGAATCACTCTCCCTAAAAATCAACAGATATTGGTAGTGTGCTGCTATAGACCGCCTAGTGGTAAGGATGTTGAAGCTGGGAACGCACTGAGGGAGCTTCTTGGGGGCCTTCCTAAAGGTGAAATCATTTTAATGGGTGATCTCAATTGGAATTGGCTAAACCCGCCGGCCGTGGCCACAAATTTTGCAGATGAATTTAACCTATTTCAATTAATAAATGTCCCCACAAGACCCAACCTAAAAAACCCGGGAAAGTCATCTCTGCTTGACATCCTATTAACAAATGCCCCTCACAATTTTGCGCTGACTGGTGTTCTGGGTAATAACCTTAGTGATCACTCCTTCATATTTGGAGTGAGATCATCAGCCAGACCCAAAGCCCCCCCTAAATTGGTTGAGAAGCACTCCATGAGACACTTCAGCATTCAGGCATTTACTAATGATGTGCTTCACTCGGTCTGTGATATCCCCAACCTGACTACGGCTTGAGAGACTTTCAGGTACACGTTTCTCCAAATTCTTAACAAACATGCTCCATTGGTTAGATTTAAAACTAAAGGCAACCGCCCACCATGGTTTGATCCCTTAATTACTAAGCTCATGAAAACTAGGGACATGTGCTCAGAAAAGTAATTTGGTCCATGAATGGCTAGAATACAGGATTTTAAGGAATAGATGTGTCAAAAAAATACGGTATGCAAAAAATGCATACTTTTCCTCCACTCTCCTGGAATCACATGGAAATGCCAGGATCTTCTGGAAAACAAGTATCGAAAAGGCATCTAACACAGATAATCTGCCCGTTGAGCTTAACCGAAATGGGGAATATTTTTCAGAGCCCCAAAAAATTGTTGACAATTTTAACTTTCATTTTTCTGAAGCTGGTGACCTTTTTGATGATGTATTGGAAGTCACCCCTGCGCATGCAAATTCCTACACACCTCTCCAAACATTTAACGAATTTAGTTTCCAGCCAATCCACGAAAGTAATGTTCTGAAACAACTGTCCTACCTCAAAGGGTCCTCCTCTACCGGAGCAGATAGTATTCCCGTCTTTGCTCTGCTAACTGTTGGTCACCTAATATACAAACCTATAGCCCATATTTTCAACCTGTCCATCAAAGAAGCATCAATACCTCTAGAATAGAAATATTCATATGTTCGTCCACTTCACAAAGGGGGCCCTAAAGATGATCCAAATAACTACCGACCTATCTCAATTTTGTCCCCGTTGATGAAAATCTTTGAAAAATTATTGAACTACCAAATTAGCAGTTTCCTGTCTGACCACAATCTATTACATGGAAAACAATCTGGGTTCCGAAAAAAATACAGCACCACATCTGCTGCATTAGACTCTCTGAATCACATTTACAGTAGCCTTGATAATAAGCACTACTGGCGCCAGTCTTTTTCTTGACTTGTCCAAAGCCTTTGATACAGTCGACCACAACACCCTGCTTAGTAAACTAAGTTGCATCCGTTTCTCCAAACACGCAGTAGAATGGTTAAAAAATTACCTCTCTTTTCGCACCCAAACTGTACTCACAGATTGTTGGAGGTCAAACAGTGTTAAGATAACAAAAGGGGTTCCACAGGGTTCAATCCTCGGCCCCCTCTTGTTCTCTCTTTATGTCAATGAATTGGGCACTGACCTGGATCATTCCAGGGTAAATCTTTTTGCAGATGACATGATACTGATTACTGCTGGCCACTCTCCGGATGATGTGATTGCTAAGCTCCAGGGTGATTTCAACAAACTACATCAGCTAGTTGCTCTTAAACTAGTCCTGAATACCTCCAAAACCAAGGTGCTATGCTTCTCACCAGGACTAAAGCAGGAAGTTATTTTTTCCCAATTACATTCCTTAAATAATTATCAAATAGAGCAAGTCAAGATCTATAAGTATCTTGGGGTCATTCTTGATTCAAAACTGAAATTTGAAGATCACATTGATTATATTGGTAAAAAGACAAACATAAAAATTGGTTTTCTGTATCGACACAAGCACTGCTTCCCCCTATGTTCCGTTTGGAATTGATAAAAGCTACCATACTGTCTCTACTTGATTACTGTGACATCGTGTATAAATCAGCCCCAAGTACTGTACTGAAGAAGCTTGACTCAATGTATCACTCGGCCTTAAGATTTGCATTGAACTGCCCATGTAGGACTCACCACTCTGATCTCTATATTGGGTCAAACTTAACATCTCTCAATGTTCGACGGCTTGTGCATCAGATCTTATTTATTCATGATGTACTTACAAAAAAATCCGCAGATTACCTGCTGGATCTCCCCTCTGTTTCAAAGAACAAATTTGACCTAAGGTCTTCGCTCATTTACCAGCTTCACATTCCCTATTGCCGTACAAATACTGGAGGAAGGGCCTTTGCTATTGATGCCCCCAGGGTCTGGAATGCTATTGCCAATAAACTGCAACTTGAATCACTACCTATGAGATCTTCACTCAAGACTGGTCTAGAAGAGTTGTACACCCCTAGCTGCCACTGCAATTTAGTGGCCTAAAATACAATGTTTCGCTCCGGATGATCGCTGCAAAGTATGATCTGTGTTTTGATTTAGTGTGCTGATCTTAAAGGTGCTTTGAAAAATGTTGATACTCCGACTGATGCTCCTACTGTTGTGGAGTGACTCATGCAGCCAGCTATGGCTGCAGAGTTTAGTAGTACATGTTGTTTACATCGTTTATTGTGAAAATTCGGTCACAGTTCCTATGACCACTGTTTCATTGCTTTTATGACTTTATTTTGGTGATTTTAGAAAAGTTTTTTGGTTTGGCCATGTTTGTTTGTTGTAGTACAGAGTTAGACTGATGGCCTTAATCTAAGTTGTCTTGTGGTTGTTGTTGTTTGACTTGCATCCCACTGGGATTTTTGCACACAGTGTTGGTATACGGTGCTTTTTCTGCAATATTGTGCTGTCTTTTTTGTATTTTCTGTTTGCACTCAGTCACATATTCACTTTAAGATGTTTTTTTGTTCATGTTTTTGTTTTTTGTTTGTTGCGGTTGCACCCGATTCAAGAGCCGAATGGCTCACAGGGCTGTACCTAATAAATGAACTTGAACTTGAACTTGAGATTTTAGCAGAAAAGGCCTACTGCGCTGTATAGCTCTCTATCAGAACCTGGCGACAAATGATAGCTCAACGAAGTGACTTATCGCATGGAAATGCAGAGCAGCCAAATACTCTAAATGCGTGTTTCTAAATGTGGAGGGAAAAATTGGAGGACCTGCAGAAAAATACATGCAACCACAGGGAGAACATGCAAACTCCAATTATACAGGCATCAGGGTCGGGATCAAACCCACAATCTCCTGTATACCATGCGAGGTATTTAACATCTCACCACCGTGGCACCTCTGGAAAGGAAATTTACCGAGGAAAGCCTCACTGAGTCTCAAGACTCTTTTTCTGCAGGGTGCTGCTGGTACATGGGGAAACTTAACCATAAATTAGAGACGCCGACGAAAACCCAACGCCGGCACTGCTGTATGCGAGGGGGGAGACACTCGACTCTACCACCTCCTGGCTACACCTCACATCCCCCTAAGCCTACAACACCTGGCAAGTCCTTGTGGTGGTGGTCACCCATGCAGGTTCATGCCCATGGCACCTTAAGGACATCTCATGCCAAGGTTACTCCATCCCTTCCCACTGCTGCTACTGTGTGCTGTATGAGTGTGTTCACCTCCTGTCTCCTGTCTCTCTCTTCCTCTCCATCTCTCTCCATGTTCTCTTTCTCCGTCTCTCCCTCTCCGTGTATCTCTCTATATCGCTCTCTCTTGTCATCTGTCTCCGTCTATCTACCCATCTTAGAATCAGATTATTTTTTTCAGAATCAAAATATTTATTTATAGTGGAGGAATCCGATGAGCTACAGAGTTATTTCTCTCCCCGGGTCGAGCTCACCGTGCGGGTCCCTCTGAGTGAGTGCTGCTGGGTTGCCGGCCAGCACGGCGAGGGCGCGCCGTGCGTCCCCGTGGAAGCACGCGTGGTGCAGGGGGTGCAGCCCGGCCGAGGAGGGCAGCCCCCCGCTCCGCCATGGGGAAGGCACCCCGCTACGCCGAGGCGATGCCACCACCACCGCCGCGTCCCCGCCGCCACCGGCGTCGTCGTCATCGGCCGCGACGATGGCGGCGGCCCCTCCGATGGCCGGAGAAGCCGGGGTCGGCGGAGGGAAGATGGCGTCCTTGCACGGGAGAGCAGCGCCGGCTGGCATGCGCAGCTCCCCCGACAGGTGCAGCGTTTCCCCCGTCATGCTGCCAGGGCCCTGGGGGATGGAGGGGCTGTCAGATACGTGTGGTTGGCTACAGATGGTGCAAAAAGAGTTCAATACGTGTGTATGCAGAGCAACGTTGCCAACTCCTTTAAGTAAAACGTCGCTAAATAAACATCACCGCTGGATATCATCACCAGCCATGGTCATTCCCCTGCTGGATGACAGCCTTCCCAAGCAGTCACCGCCACCGCCTCTCACGATCTGGCGATGTGATACTCCACCTAGCGAGCTAATTCATCGCTCCATCTCGTCGGAAGGACGTGCTGCTAATCCGTGCTGTGTAACACCACGACAAAACATCTTTCTTGTTCTACTCTGCTCCCAGTACATTTCTTGCCGAGTTCGTGTAACCTTGCTCAACTTGACAGACATGGTAGAGTCTCTGATTATTTCCTGTCTGCCGTGCTATTATTAGTGATCTCAGTTGCCGGCTATGTTGCATCACGGGGCCATTGGTCCTGTGCTTAGCAACTGTAATTAACACGCACCCTGACATTTGTTTGTTATATTTTTTCCCCAATTATAATTGCAGGTGTGCCAGCGACACTGTGTCCCAGGAGGAAAACATTTCCATCCGTGGCTCTCACGAAATAAATAAAAACATGGTATGACGTTGCTGCGTGATAGGGAACAGCTCGTGGGAGGGGACACCACTGAACTACTTCTGAAGATGTATTTTTTGTGTTGGGTGTTGCGTCAAACTAGGACCCGTGTCTAACAGGGAAACGGCCATTACCTATAAACATCTGGCAGCTGCTTAAATCAATGCTGGTCAAGATTGATGAGACGCTGAATGTCGAAACTGGTCCAGAGTTTTTGTTTTAATTGCTCTGAATCAATGCTGCCGAAATGATGCACTCCCAGAAGGTAACGTCACGCTGATGGGATGTGTAATACATATTTATGTGTTTTACGTGGAAATAGATACGTGTGAATGAGACAATAATGCCTGCTTGTGTATTCTTAAGCACCTTCAATTGCCCCATGTCCCCTGCTCGGGGCAACTAATCATCGCCCCCTGCTGGCAGACCAGTACCCCAGGTGTCTCTGGCCAATAAGACTCCATCCTGGTCTCACCGGGTGAAACAAAATAAACTTGAAGCTTGAACAAGCAGGCTGCATTTGTACTAAATAAGCACATATAAAACACGCAGCACACTAGCATACAGAACACAATAGCCAAAAACACAAGACACAAAATGCAGGGGAGATCATAGGAGCCGTCCATAAATGACGTCACGCACCTAGGGGGGGGGTCAGACATTTGTGACGATGTGTGACGAGGGGGGGGGGGGGTGAGAAATGTGACGTCACGTCAAAATGCGCAAATTTAAATACATATAGACAACACGTTCTACTTAATTAAATCGACTTTTTGTTAAATGTTTTCTCCTACAACATCAGAGTGCAGCGCCACATTAAATATGCACTACAATGACAATAGTTTAAAGCGATTTGAAGTATGTTTTTTTTTTGGGGGGGGGGCAGAGCTTTGTGACGTCATATTTGAGGGGGGGGTCTGACTTTTTGTGACGCCGTGTGACGATTGGGGGGGGTCAAAAATCGTTCAAAATCGTCATATATGGACGGCCCCATATGCACACATTAAGCGGAGTACGTCTCCGCTTAATGTACTGTGGAGCATGCGTGGAGTACACTCTGCAGTACACAGTGTAGTACTTGCAGAGTACATGAAATTGGGCAATTTGCACTCACAATTTTAAAGTACAGTGAGTGTACACACACACAATAGCACGGTTGGCTACGTACGGTACGAAAAATGTTCAACATACATACACATGTCTTTGTAGAGTGTACATGCAGAGTACACACACACAGTAAACATAAAACATTGGTTAATCGCTTCCAAAAACATGCTAACGTTGGCCATAACGTTGGCGTGTTTACTGGACGGTACGTTCACAAGCAAGCACACGAAATACAGAGTACACGTCAACATTCACAAACAGCAGGACAGTATGTGCACAGAATACTGTACATACAGTACACGCACCATACACACACCACACAAACACAGCATACATACAACACACACGCCACACACACACAACACACACACAACACACACACCATACACACACCACACCATACACACTCAATCCGCACACCACACACACATACCATACACACACCATGTACACACCACACACACCATACACACACCATACAATACACACACCACACCATACACACATACACACCATACACACCACACCATACACACACCACACATACAAACCACACATACACACCATACACACACCACACTACACACACACCACCAACACTACACACACACTACACACAGTAGACACACACCACACTCTACACACACAGTAGACACACACATCACACACACCACACCATACACACACTATACATACAAACTCAATCCGCACACCACACACACATACCATACACACACCATGCACACACCACACAATACACACCATACACACACCACACAATACACACACCACACCATACACACACCACACATACAGACCACACATACACACCATACACACACCACACCATACACACACCACCAACACACACCATACATACACACCATACACACCACACCATACACACACACCACACCATACACACATACCACACCATACACACATACACACACCACCCACACACACCACCCACACACACACACACCACATACACACCATACACACACACCACACACACACCACACACACACCATACACACACCACACCATACACACACCACACATACACACACCATACACCCCCCACACATACACACCACACGTGCATGAAACACACAACCGGGAAGATATAAACAGACACAAATGAGGATAAGCAGTAGATACACACAGCCGAGTACACACCAACAGAGTATACAGATGCAATATAAAGTACACAACACATAAGCAAGAGGGAGTACATACAGAACAGACACACGTGCATCAGAGTACACGTGTAACGGATTGCACTCACAACACAAAGCACCGATACAGCACACACAGTACGCACACGCCACACAATTCGTACACACATACACACCACACAATACACACAGATCATAAAATACATACACAGTACACAGATAACACAGATCAGACGGTATACACAGTACACACACATATCAGACAGTACACACATCACACACAAATCCGACAGTCCTGTACACAAATCACATACAGATCCGACAGTATACACACAAGATACACAGTACACAAACATCGTACACAGTAAGCACACATCGTACACAATACATACACAGCACACACGCAGTACACGCGCAGTACACGCACAGTACACACACACCACACACACACCACACACTACACACACAGTACACACAGTACACACACACCACACAAACACCACACAGTACACACACAGTATACACACACACCACACACTACACACATCACACACCACACAGTAGACACACACACATCACACACCACACACTACACACACCACACACTACACACACACTACACACAGTAGACACACACATCACAAACACTACACACAGTAGACACACACACTACACACACACCACACACTACACACACAGTAGACACACACTACACACACATCACACACACATCACAACACTACACACAGTAGACACACGTCACACACGCGCTGCATACAGACGAGTTGGCGACGTTGACGATTACCCGACTCCTTTGAGCTGCTCCGCCTGCCGCCTCCTCTTGGATCTCAGACAGCAGCAGCAGCAGCCTCTCACACGAAACCACCAATCTGAATAGGAATCAAGCTCAGTAAATATATCTATTCTGACGCGTACATATGCCCCTTATCCGATATGCTATTGCAGCGGAACGAATGTTATCTAAATTACGATGGCAAAATAAAGATAATCGCGTGAATATCCACGTAGAGAGAGAGACGTGTGTGTCTCGGCGTGCACACGAGCGAATGATCCTCTCGTGACGAGAGTGCGTAATAAAGTGCCGCCGTCTTGATTCTCAGGCTGGAGACGCACAACGGGGGAAGGAAGGAGGCACACGCGCAGCAGCAGCACCGCCAGACGCGGTTTGTGTGCCGATCGTCGCGGGGCCGGGCCCGCTGTGGGGCGAGTGCGTCATCGGTGGCGGGGGGGGGCATCAGTGGAGCTGGCGAATAAACCACGCGGCAAGCAGCAGCAGCAGCGGCGGCAACACCCCTGGGACAAACACGGCCCGTGATTTGGTTTCACCCGACCCGTCACTTAATTTAATGCGACCCGCGACTAGATTCCATGCCACCCCGTCACTTGATTTCATGCGAGCCGCGACTAAATTCCACACGACCCGCGACCAGTGGCGGCTCCTGCAAAATCTCTCAGGGGGGGCAAATGTCTGGATGATTGATAAGGATAAGGTCCACCCATGCAATGGATAAATTAACAGCTTAAGCATGTAAAGGCAACTTCACTACTTTAATATTAATGAAAAATAAAGTGACTCTTACAATACATCTCCTTGTTTGTTTCTATACTCACTATTATTACAATCCACTCAGTTTCTTTTATTAAAGATTACACTAGGTGGCGACAAATAATATTGTTGACTGAAACGTGCTTACGTATGATGACGTAAGCACGTTAGTGCGAGCCCTCCCAGAAGCCATAGAGAATGCATTGCAGCTCCCGCCGTTCGAAAAAAAGCATCTTTGAATGTAAGTCTATGGGAACACTCTGGGCGATTCTCAGCCGGAGTGAAATCGCCCAAAAAGAGGCGGTACTCCACAGAACGTGACATGACGCTGATTGGACTATATCCAGAGGCACAGTAATGGCTAGCGTGACTCTGTGGTTGAATGAGATTTTTAATGTGATTGAAAAAGTCCCTTTCACACTTTGGTGGTGCGTCGCCCAATCGCCCTAATGAAGAAACCGCTCCTGCCCGCGACTAGATTCCATGCCACCCCATCACTTGATTTCATGCGACCCATAACTCAATTCCACACGACCCGTGGCTTGATTTCATGCGACCCGTAACTCGATTTCATGCGACCTGCGACTAAATTCAATACGACCCGTGGCTTGATTTCATGCGACCCGTAACTCGATTTCATGCGACCTGCGACTAAATTCAATACGACCCGTGGCTTGATTTCATGCAACCCGCAACGAGATTCCATGCCACCCCGTCACTTGATTTCATGCGACCCGCAACGAGATTCCAAACGACCCGTCACTTGATTTCATGCGACTCCTGACTAAATTCCATACGACCCGGAAAATATTCAATACAACCCATAACTTAATTTAATCCGACCCGTGACTTTATTTCATACTACCCGCTACTAAATTCCATACGACCCATGACTTAGTTTCATTCGACCGATATAACCCACAACTTAATTTAATCCGACTCGTGACTCATAGACTTACATAAAGACCTAAAGATTTGCACAGAGACTCATATACTCACACAAACCTTTCGACTCACATAGACCCTTAGACTCACACAATAACCTATCGGCTCACAGAGACCCTTAGAATCATACAAGGACCTATAGACTCACAGAGGCCCATATACTCACACGGAGACCTGTAGACTCACAGAGTCCCACAGACTCAGAGACCCATAGACTCACACAAAAACCCAAAGACTCACAAAGAGACCCATAAACTCTGGTCTCACAGTACCCCATAATCTGCTCTGAGGTCTCATGGGAGAACACTCAAATGTCTGTCTCGGCAACTGGCCCTCATCCATCCATCACAAAACATAATAATTTAAGGTGTGAGTCCAACTGAGTCGCAGACGTTATTCTTCAGAGGCAACACATTTATTGTAACACGTATATACAAAGGGGTAACTGCCCCATTACCAGATACAGTCTAGGGTGGTGACCACCCAGCTAACTACACTATACGTAGGAGTTATAGTTACGAAGGGTCGGACCCTCACTCGGGTCTCCGGCCACGTGTTGATGCCTCGTAGGACGTTGAGCTTCCAGCTTGTAGACGTAGAGCTTCCAGCTTGTAGAACGAAGCGACCCCGGTCCCTCTCAGGGACCCAACTTATATCCTCTCGGGTTGGGGCTGCTCCGCCCTCGGCCCTGCCTGCCTTCTCGAGCGTTCTAGCTCCCTCTCGATCCCCCTCGAGAGCTCTCCCTGGACACGTGATCACCTTTTAGTCCCTGGACACGTGATCACCCCCCACACACTATGCGTGGTGCCCTCGCTATTGCAGCACTCACCAAGCCCCGCTAGGGTTGGTACTACACCTATCTACAGGGTGTACGCGATGACGGTGCAACACACGCCGTGCTATGCTAAAGCCGACATCACACCCACCCGGTGCTATCCGCGACGTAGGAACATCGAACGCCACGGTCCTCCCGGGCCGGTACCATACAGTGACATCCCCGATGTCACTACAAAGGTGCTAGTTATTTACCCAGAAAAACCCCAGAGTCTCATTACTCTTTTTTTAGCAGGGTCTTGAATTTTAGTTTTTTTACGAGGATGTTTTCAACCAATTAATGAGTGCGTATACAGGTAGGGTGGGGTTAGTGGGATACGAGCACCCGGAGAAAAAACACACGCATGTGAGGGGGCAACACTGTATCCCGTACAAATTAAACAGATGGAGTCTGCACTTTGTTGTACCTCCTACTGGCAAGCCAGGGTACGGCACCTTCTCGATGCCCACAGAAAGGGAGTTGGAACAGATGGAGATTAGTCCACACTTCGCTGTATGCCCCCTTGCCATGGCAAACCAGGGTTATGGCATCTCTTTGACGCTCATGCGAAGTCGGAGCAGATGCAGATTGACCCACACTTTGCCGTACCACCTTCTCGTAGCGTGCCAGGGTTATGTAGCAACCTCCTCGACGCCCATGAGAAGGGAGTTTACACAACATCTATGTGGTTCACCAATCCACGCTGCTGCCTGCACAGTGCTGGATTAAAGTCAGCAGCCACGTGCAGCGTAGCCACCATTAGGCCTCGGCAAGGTAAGGTAATTTACCCTTTTTACCGGGTAAAAGGGTAAAGGTAAAGATGTCGACATGCCAAGGGGTAAGGTAAAGGGTAGGGTAAAGGTAGCTCGGAAGAATTACCCGGTAGGGTAAAGGTAGCGCGAAGTATTACCCGGTAAATATGGTACCTTCTTTACCGCTAAAAGCTCGGTGGCGCAGTCCGTGGCCTCCATTTAATAAGTAATATTTTTAAAAACTTTTTTTTAAACACGCTTTTATTAAATGTACTAGTAATGGCAGAACTCCACGACTCCAGGAAGTGGCCCCGAAACTTGCCATAACGTAAGGGACCGTGGCCAATTACAGCCAACGTCAGTTGAGCGTGGACAATTAGACCCAAGCCGAAACATAACATGTAAAAATAATGTTTAAAAATATATATTTTTATGATAGAATATATTGTCATCAGTATGACATAAGTATACAAGTTTGCAGTCGATCCCGCATTAGGAAGTGGGTTAAAATTGAGTTACACGATTTGAGGATATGACAACGACGACAACGACGACAACAACAACGACAACAATAACAATGACAACAACAAGTGTGTAAAATTGGAATCGAGAGTATTCTACATGAATAAAGCGCTCTACCTAACACTTACCATTATAAACCTTTTTCATGTGTAGTTCCCTAGTAATTACCCTGTAATCGGGTAATGTGTATGGGGTAAGGGTAAAAGGTAGGGTAAAGGTAGGCTCGTTGCTTTTTACCTTTTACCTTACCTGCTAAAGGGTAAAAGGTAGGGTAGAGTGATTATATTGTGGTAAGGTAAAAGGTATGGTAAAGGTAAGCTCTTTGTTTTAACCTTTTAACTTTTACATTTCCTTGCCAAGGCCTAGCCACCATCCAGAGCGTGTGTTGACTCGGCTTGTTCACCTGCGTCTGCATTGCTTCTCCTGTCCTGCCACGACATTCCTAGCATCCGTCGCAAGACAACTGTACTTAAGTGCCAACGACTTCTTATTTGTTCGAGCTCTCTAGTTACGCAGTGTAAACTATTTATATGCTATGCATATTAAATACATTTTCTTTGAAGGCAAATGTTTGGTGATACTGCTGCGTTGACAGTGGTGCAAAGGCAAAAACAACAACAAACTCCGCTCAACATATTCGTCAACAACACTGCCATAAAATCAAACATAGAGCGGGAAACGTTCCGGGCAATGACCCTTCGTAGCACGTAACTGTGTATATAGACTTCAAGCTTTCGTGACTGCAGGAATTCATATTATTTGGGTCTTTCGGTAAAGTCGCGTAGATAGGTTCAAATAAAATAACAAAACAAAAAACTACGACGTTTCGATCGCAACACAAGCGGTCGTCATCAGGAAAAGATGGGTTAGCTTCTAAAGACAACTGCTTATAAAGGTTTGAAATGGGCTTAGCCCAAATATCAGCAGCCAATACCAATGCAATTGGTGGGCAGCGACCGCGATGGTGGTGGGCTTTCCACCAATCAAAGGGCTGCCAGGCAAAAATTAGCATGTCAATGCAAGATCGTCGAGCATCCTTCACGGCGAGTGCGCCAAGATAGCTATGTCGATGTAAGAGATTAATATGTTAATGAGGGATCGTGAAGCAGCCGCCTCGAGGATGGCGCGCGAGGTAGCTGTGTTAGTGAGACATTTAATCTGTTAATGTAAAAAATCAGAGAGCCGAAAATAACAACTAACATCGGAAGGTGGTAGGCTGGGAACATCACAGCCAGTTATGACTTAAACTGGTTAATAACGTCCTTCCAATGATTGCTCAGTTTGCACCCATCTTCTCGGTTGAAAATCTATGTATATGGTTGGCTTTATGAACGAATCTTTGTTGATAGCCAGTAGGTTTGCAAAGTACCTTCGTCTTAGATAAATCAATTTCCTGTGAGCCCACCGCATTAAAGACAATGATCAGCCACGGCCGAGGTATTGGTCCTACCGTGTTTCAGATCTGCCTTATGTTCCGTATTTCCCAGTGAGGTATAAGGCAGTGAGGTATAAGGCAGATCTGAAACGCGGGAGGACCAATACCTCGGCCGTGGCTGATCATTGTTTTAACGTGGTGGGCTCACACGAAATAGATTTCTCTAAGACGAAGGTACTTTGCAATCCCACTGGCTATCAACAAAGATTCGTTCATGAAGCCTGCATTTATAGACACAGACACAATTTCAACCGAGAAGATGGGTACAAACTGAGCAATCATCGGAAGGACGTTATTAACCAGTTGAAGCCATAACTGGCTGTGATGTTCCCAGCCTACCACCTTCCGATGTTAGTTGTTATTTTCGGCTCTCTGATTTTTTACATTAACAGACTAAATTTCTCACTAACACAGCTACCTCGCCAGCCATCCTCGAGACTACTGCTTCACGATCTGCCATTAGCATGCTATTTTCTTTACATTAAAATATCCACCTTGGCAAGCTCGCCGTGGAGGATGCTCAACGATCTTGCATTGACATGCTAATTTTTGCCTGGCAGCCCTTTGATTGATGGAAAGCCCACCACCGCCGCGGTCGCTGCCCACCACTTGCATTGACATTTGGGCTATGCCCATTTCAAACCTTTATAAGCATATTCTTAGGTTTTTTCGGTAAAGTCACGTAGGTAAGAAACATTAAAAAACATTAAAAGTAAAATAAAATAAAAAATCACGACGTTTCGGAGGCAACACAAGCTTCCGTCTTCAGGTGGAACCGTCACAGCCACGACAGCTGTATCAAGTAAATGAGAGATTGCAGAAGCTGCCACTCCGTTTATATAATGGTTGGAGAAGGTGGTGGAGCAAGGGCCGCATACTTTTATTAATATGGTAAGGTGAGGCTTAAGACTAAGAATATACTGCATAACAAAGGCTGAGCCCACCGAGTTGTAGCAAAGGCTGAGCCTTTGTTATGGAGAGGTGCGGTTTGTGACTCAACCTGTAACAGGGAGACCACCACTAAACATGGTAAAACTGTAACGGGTGTCTGTCAAATAAGTTTGGCAGATAAGTGTAGTTAAATCTTTTTTGCATGGTTAATCACATCTTTCCAATGATTACTCAGTTTGTAACCGTCATCACGGTTGAAATTATGTCTGTGTTTGTATATTTTTTTATAAGCAGTTGTCTTTAGAAGCTGACCCCCCTTTTCCTGATGACGCCCGCTTGTGTTGAGATCGAAACGTCGTAGTTTTTTGTTATTTTTTTTTTACCTATCTACGTGACTTTACTGAAAGACCCAAAGAATGTGTATATAGATTTTTAAAAATGTAGGCCAGAGTGTTATTGACTACTGTGTTGGAGTTTATTGTGAGTTGTGCAGCAATTGGCATGATGCTGCCAGTGGCGTAAATCGTCAGGGCACTCGAGGTCGCCGGTTGGATTCCATCTCAACGGCAGTTGAAACAATGGTGAGAAGTTGTTTTTTGCACAATCTTCCTCCGAGCCTTTGTTTATCCAGCAATAACAATGGCTCCAGCCGCAGTTAGTCTTTGATCGGCAGGTGGTGGGGTAAAGTGTGGGTATTCCTCGACTTTTCCTCTCTATATAGTTGCCTCCCTCTCATAGCCTCTGCCACCGCCAGTGGCGTTTTCGCGAGCAATGTATTCTCCAGCAAGATAACATTTAGAGATGCCCGTGAGCAAGCAAGCGAATGAGGAAGAAAAAATAAAGACTGCATCTACACCTTTTTATTTTATATAAGGGTACTTTGAAAAAAAAATTGCAAAAAATATTATCTTCCTTCGAGCCGGAGTCGAACCAGCGACCTAAGGATTTCAACAGCGAGTCGTCCTCTACAGTCCTCCGCTCTACCAACTGAGCTATCGAAGGAGATGAGTGTCCAAGGAATTCAACTCGCATTATATCATTCACTTACGGGCAACACGTTTCATGTTTGCTCTTAATTTAAAACAATTTCACACACACTCGTGTGAAATACAGCGATCGTGATGAATACGTTATTTAAATTACTGGAGAGTCGCGTATAATCCACCTTTTATTATTTTATTTATTTTTCAATGGGGTGTTGGTCCCACTCGTTACGGCGCACGCCATTGGTTGATTCTCCGGAGTTGTTGTGTCGCGTTGTGTGGTTGGATGATTATGATCACGTGGTCACACCCCCTCCCTCCTTCTGATTCCGGAATAAACGGTCTTCCGGTAGAGGTAGAGAACAAATAAAACGCGACCACGCTAATGCAATTCGGGCCTTCTACCGAAAACGGAAGATCGCCACCGGAAGATTCTACCGGTTCTGGCTCGTCTTGGAAGACGTCGAAAAAAACGAGCGGCAGAGACGACGACGGCGACAAGGATGAGGATAAGGCGGGAATCTTTAACATTCGGACGGAATTGAAGCAAACACCGTTACGGTAAATACAGCAACGTTACAATGTTCTACCTCGCCACGTGTTAACTGATGTAATATTTGTTTCAGTTAGCGATCTTTTACCGCGTGCTTAACGCATTATTGTTCATTTTAAACGCGCAACTTCGATAAGGCGGCGTTCTCGCTCTCGTGCCCCGGGCCCGTGCCTCATCACCACGGGGAGAATACTAGGAAAGGCGCGTGGCTTTCCGCGGGGAAACTAGGCCGTGGGCGAACTCTTGAACGGAAACCCCCTCGGGGCCATCCATTTAGTACGTACGCATGGAGGGGGGTTAACACAAATGTGTACGCTTGCGTTTGTGGGGTTTACTGACAATGTACGTACGCATAGGAAACGGGGGGGTGTGGGGGTGAAGCCTCGATAATTTGTCTACATTGGCCTTCAAATTAGTTAGATAGTCCGGCGGTGGACTATCTGCTTGCTTAAACACGTTAATATTATTCATCTTTGATCGTTTCTGTGTGGATTAAATATCGGCGAACGCAGGTAAAAAGTGCGCGTGTGGACAGGGAGGGGGTCAAGCTTTGACAGATATTCTTAGGTTTTTTCGGTAAAGTCACGTAGGTAAAACATCAAAATTAATTAAAATAAAACAAAAATCTGTCAAGCTTTGACAGATGTTTGCGTGCGGACTAAATGGATGGCCCCCTACCGCGCGCAACGGGCATTTGCGATAAAGTAACGATATATATTAGCCGTCTTAATCTATCTTTTTTTTCTATGTGTATAAAAGGGAAATTTGTGAATGTGTGTGTTCGAAATGTTTAGCGTACTTCCCAACATGCTACAAACTTGAAATTTGGCATGTGGGTAGCTTCCAGACTGTACACAATTCGAAAAGTATAAAAATAGACTTTTGTATTTTGGGGGAGGGGGGGATGAGCATGAAGTGTGTGGCGTCAACCCGCATCATACAGAACTAGCGAGAATCGATATCTGGTGAGCGTTTGTGGTATCGATTAAACTGGAATAAGCCGAGTCTAAAGATATCTACAACCTTCTATTCCTTTTTTGCGATTTAAAGAATCGAACCTTTGCGCGCGAGCGGAAGTTTTTTTTCCACCGCGAGTTCGGTTTTATTTTAATTAATGAGATAATGATCAAAGTTAAATTTTCATTTGTTTATGTTATGTTTTTAAGTTTTGAGAAGTTTTTAAATATATTTTTCCCCCGTGCATCGACGGGTACTTCCCGCTAGTAGTCGATAAAATAAGAGTACCACTTTGTAGTAAGCAGGGACGTGCGGTCAGGGGAGGCAGAGCCTCGCCTGTCATACTCCAATGAAAATAGCTGTTACGAAAAGTACATAAATTAATATTAAGATTTTTCCACTGATCTGTGTTATAAATGTAATTTCTATATGATTCCAATCATTTTTAAATCCTTTATATTAAGTTCACTTGCTTGCTTGCGCGCTTACGACCGTGCAAATCTTTCGGTCGTTTTTTAACCCACTTCCCGTGATCCAATCGAGCTGACATTTTGCACACAGACTCGTTGTGCGTGATAATTTATTTTCGTGAAAAAAAATTTCCATAACTTTACACTTTTTAGGAATTTTTTTAAAATATTTAATTACCAATTGCTTAATGGTGGCAGGCAATCATCTGAGCCATAGGTGGCAGCCATCTCAAGCCAGAGGACGAGAGGACTCTAGCCGCCACGCATATAAAGGATTTATAGTGAAAAACTTTGTTTTTACGGGTTAATTTTTTTCTAGTCAAAATCGCCAAATTTGCAAATACAGGGAGAGACGAGAGGCGAGGCATCGACGAGTTCAGCCTCTCCTCTGATTGCGCAACCCCTCGGAAACTGGATGGAGCGCGGGCAATAAGCGCGTGCATGTCACCAATGTAATGTTTATAGATCCCTTCATTACATGTCCTCACCATCCATAGTCCAGGTAACTTATTTCATGCATGTGCGTCATAAAACTGCAATGAAATAGCACCAGGGGAGGCAGCTATCACATCTGCCTCACTGAGGGGGGCGTGTCTTGAGCCCACGTAATTGACGCTCGCTCTCCCTCCACGTTAACTAGCTCTAGCAAAAAAATCAAGCGGCTGCCAAAAAGGAAAACGTTATATCTAACCTGAAAAATTTCTCACAATTGGACTTTCAATCAAAACAAGGAGTGATAAACAATGGAAGACCAATTCCTGAGCTTAAGGACCTACTTCAAACGAAGGGACAGAAAATAACACGTTTGTTTCAAATGGAGTGGTACCAACAAAACGACTGGCTGTGTGGCTGTGCTACGAAGAATCGCCTTTACTGCTTTCCCTGCTTTCTGTTCTCCACTACCGACAACGTTTGGACTAACACGGGATTTTGTGACTTGAAAAATCTACCAAGGAACCTCAACAAACATGAAAAATCAACAACTCACATTCAAAGCCAAATTGCTTTAAAAACTTTTGGAGATTCAGGGATAGATCTGGCTTTGAATGAACAGCGGAGATTAAATATCAGCATCCACAATGCTAAGGTAAAGGAAAACCATGAGGTTTTAAAAGACCTTATTCATGCGACCTACTTCCTAGCCAAACAAGAATTAGCATTTCGTGGTAATGATGAGAGTGCAAGCTATTTTAATCGTGGCAACGATGTGGAGCTATTACATGCTTTTGCTGAGAAAGATGAAAAGTTAGCTAGACATTTGGAGACATCCACTGTGTTTTCTGGATTATCAAACAACACAACGATTTAATCGAAGCAGTCGGTGATGTAATTAGAAATGATATCAAAGAGCATATTCATGTAGCCCCATTTGTTGCAGTCGAAGTAGACGAGACAACGGATGTCATAAACAAAGCCCAGGTCTCTGTAATTTTGCGTTATGTGGCTAAAAGTGAGGTAACTTGTGAGGTGAGGGAGGTGTTCTTGGAATTTGATGATGTCACTGATGACAGACAAGCACCGGCTATTGCTGATTATGTTTTGGGAGTGTTGGGGAAATACAATTGCGTTGAAAATTTGGTAGCTCACACGACGGAGTCTCTGTGATGGCATCAGATTTTAATTGGGTGCAGGCCAAGATGAAAGGTACCTGAAGCCACGTTTACCCATTGTTATGCACACAAATTGAACCTGGTGCTCTCGCATTCAGCAAAATGTATGCCTGAGTGTAAAATGTGTTTTAAAACAGTCGAGGGACTTGCGACCTTTTTCAATAAGTCTACCAAGCTTACCCACCTACTGGACGATGTTGTGAAGCGACGTTTACCAAGAACAGCACCCACGAGATCGAGCTCAAATTCTAGACTAGTTCAGGCGATCAGCATGTACCAATCTGATCTGCGTGCTGTGTTCCGGATTATGAGCAAAAATCCCGATGGTTGGGACAATGACACCCTGATGATGGCCACCGGATATGATCTCTGACTGTCAAACGCATCAACCTGCTTCTTCATAATGGCATATGAGGGCATTTTTAAAGAAACCGATGCACTATTTTGTGTGCTGCAGAATAAAGTAATGGACATTGGATTCTGCTGTGCGCTAATCCGCGGCACAATGGGAGTTGTGGAATGCCAGAGACAAGAGTTCGACAGTTTCTATGATCGATTCGAGCAGAAATGCGTCATACATGGCCTGACAGACAATGCCCGAAGTAAACAGCCGATCAGAGGTGAGAGGAAAATAATTTTATAACATTCTTGACAATATCAGTGTTCAAATGAAAGCTAGGTTTGATCATTTCAGTGAGCTAACTTTCCTTGGTTTGGTTGATTGGATGAAATTTTATGAAATGTCACAACATTTCGATGACACCAAACTGCAGAGCCAATCACAATGTGCAAGTACTTGCACATTGTTAGACTAAAGGCTGATCTTATCGGATTGTATAGTTCACGAATGAAACGAATGCAAATCACCCGGACGGCTCCTCAGCTTTTTGGCCCAGAATGATCTGATGCAGACGGTTTCCGAGGCGACAAAGTTACTCCAGCTGGCGCTCACTATACCAGCTACAACAGCGTCCGTTGAAATGTCGTTCTCTGCTTTGAAACGATTCAAAACATACAGTCGGAATCGAACTGACCAAGGACGACTTTAATCCCTGGCAATCATCTCTATTGAGATGGGGAGACTTTAAAACTAAAAGAAAATAAAGAGGACTTCTACATCAAAGTCACTGACATATTTGTCCAGAAGGAAAGGCGAATAGGCTTTGTAAATAAACAAGTAAAGGTAAGACCATGCAATATATTTTCATTTGTGTCAAATGAGTATGAATAGTGGAACTGCATTCGCCTATTAAACGTTAATCGAATACGTAACTTACCTGTATGCGTGTGTTGTAAAGAATGCTGATATGAAATATGAAACATACAGCCGCCTAACCAATAGTCATTGTGCAACCTGCCAATTGAATGGTGAATTTAAGCTACCTCTATCGAGTTCATATGTGTGTAAACCTTATTTACCATAATCGCATCGACCATGGTTAATCCACTGGTGAATGAAGACTCATACCTTGTTGGTCACGGGGCTTGTTTTACCATACTTCACATTGCTAGTCTTTGCGCCACCTTTCAGGTTGATATATTGTTTAGGGCACAAGAATGAAACGTTTGATTAGTGGTATTTGTATGATGTGTTTATGAATTTTAGGTTATTGTTCGTGCACCCATTTACTACATTTTTAAATCCTTTATATTAAGTTCGTGTGCTTGCTTGCTTGCTTAGGACCGTGCAAATCTTTCGGTCGTTTTTTAACCCACTTCCCGTGATCCAATCGAGCTGACATTTTCCACACAGACTCGTTGTGCCAAACAATTATTGTTCGTGAAAAAAAATTCCCACAATTTTACACTTTTTAGGCAAAAAATTTTTATTTTACATATATTCAAATAGAACGCATTCATGGCTTTGGCTGAACGTCAGAGTGTAAGAGCCCAGAGCGTAACCCCTCCACAGGCCGTGGCGGAGTAGCGCAGTTGGTAGCGCCCTCGTTTCCCATGCCAAAGGTCGCAGGATCGATCCCCGCGTCCTCCACAGGCGAATATATTTTTAAATCCTTTATATTAAGTTCGCTTGCTTGCTTAGGACCGTGCAAATCTTTCGCTCGTTTTTTAACCCACTTCCCGTGATCCAATCGAGCTGACATTTTCCACACAGACTCGTTGTGTGTGACAATTAATTTTCGTGAAAAAAAAAATCCAAAATTTTACACTGTTTAGGGAAAACAAATTAAATATTAAATCCTTTATATTAAGTTCGCTTGCTTGCTTGCGTGCTTGCTTGCTTACGACCGTGCAAATCTTTCGGTCGTTTTTTAACCCACTTCCCGTGATCCAATCGAGCTGACATTTTCCAAACAGACTCGTTGTGACAGACAATTAATGTTCGTGAAAAAAAAATTCAAAAATTTAACACTTTTTAGTCAAAAACATTTATTTTACATTTATTCAAATAGAACTCATTCATGGCTTTGGCTGAACGTCACAGTGTAAGAGCCCAGAGCGTAACCCCTCCACAGGCCGTGGCGGAGTAGTGCAGTTGGTAGTGCCCTCGCTTCCCATGCCAAAGGTCGCGGGATCGATCCCCGCGTCCTCCACAGGCGAATATATTTTTAAATCCTTTATATTAAGTTCGCTTGCTTGCTTAGGACCGTGCAAATCTTCCGCTCGTTTTTTAACCCACTTCCCGTGATCCAATCGAGCTGACATTTTCCACACAGACTCGTTGTGTGTGACAATTAATTTTTGTGAAAATTTTTTTCCAAAATTTTACACTGTTTAGGGAAAACAAATTAAATATTTAATTACCAATTGCTTAATACTGGCAGACAATCATCTGACCCATAGATTGCAGCCATCTCAAGCCAGAGGACGAGAGGACTCTAGCCGCCACGCATATAAAGGATTTAGAGTGAAAAACTTTGTTTTTACGGGTTCACTTGTTCTCAGTGTTGTTGATGTAAATCTTTAGCTATTTTTTTGTGATGGTTAATTTTTCTCTTTACACTTAAATACGACAATCCCTCGCCAACCGCGGGGGTAATGTTACTGAAACCGCCATGGTTGGCAAACCCGCCAATGTAGGCAATACTAAGCCTTATGCGAAATAGGGGGATTAGGGAAACTGCGGCCACACTAGTCAAAGCCTAACAAAGTTGCCTGCTCCTTCACTAAACACATATCATATACTTGCGGGAGCGGTGCTCGGATCGGTGGCCACAATTTATTTTAGGGTTATCCCCCTACCTCTTTCCCCCGCATGTGTGTTTACTTACAGAACATGTGAGGAGCGGTAGGGTTCGCGTTTAACGCGCTGCACTACGAATCCGGCGACCCGAGTTCGATTCCCGCTCACAGCCAATACCAGTGACGATTATTTGAACCGGTCCTGGGCCTCCTCTTGGCCGACTCAGCTTCAAATGAGTACCTGGTGTGATGTGTAAACATCGTCACTGGGGATACAAAGGCGGGTGGGCTTGGTGTTGGCCACCCACCCCCTCGTGTTCCGTGCTTGCCTTCGTTGGTATCACTCGGTAACAGCACTTCCTCTAAAAAGTCTGTTAAGGGATGGACCTTTGGGTCTTTATTTCGATTTCATACAGAACATGCCTGGTTTGCTGACGTTGCACGCGAGACCGGTGGGCCCGGCGGTGGTGGCGGCGGATCGCTCTGAGGAGCCCTCGCCGCGGAAGAACCGTCTCTCGCTCAAGTTCACTCGGAGACGGGAGGCGGCGCTGACATCGTCTCAGGGCGGCGAGGAGGAAGCGGGCGCTGCCGTGGCACGGTCCTCACAGGAGGCAGACTCCGCGTCGGAGGGCGCCAGCGACATCGCAGCCTTCAACGAGTGTGTTTTTTTTTTTAAGCCAGGATACATCTCCTAATTGCCCTGCTAGCTTTTGAATTGTGTGTAATGTTTGTGTTTTGCAAAACAAAAAACATTTTAAACCCAGGTTTAGCTTTACAAATACACTTTTAATCTCACTAGGCTGTCACTTGTCAACAAGTAAAGGAATACGTTTTACCACTTGACTTGGCCAGATGGCACTTGGCGCAAAGTTAGGAGATCGCAACTGGGCAGGCGGCCACTCAATCGGTCACTCTTGGTCGATTCTATGCTTGGAGAATCACTGGGAAGCCGGCAGTGTTTGTCTTTTGGATGAACTGGCTCCTGTGTTGGGAATGTGAATGACTTTTTAAATTTGTATCGGGTTAGTTACCAAATAGTAGTACCAGACAACCTCTTCAATAATCAAAAGTAATCTAAATAAACTAATTTATATTAAAAGTTAATTTACAAAATGTCGCTAGCACAATGCATTGTGGAAAGGTTTGTTCTTGTGAGAAAAAATTGGACACAACCTTGCTTGAGGAGTCGGCATGTAACATTTAATTAAAATACATTTTCACAATTATTGTCTACCATTTAGGGAAATTAGTTTAAAGGTAAATCGTGCAAAATCAATAGTGCTTTATCTTTTTATGTTGTTTATTTTGGGTGGTGTTTACAGCTCTACAGCTGGTTAATACTGATAATAATAGTACTTTTTTCCAGCAGGGCTTTTCTCATGGATCCTGCATGGGATGTCTGGCCGTGTCCGATGCAGCCAGTGAATTCAGTCGCCAAAATTTCTTACCACAGGGTTGTAATTTTTACATGCCTCTTTCTGTCATCACATTTGTTCATTATTTGCACCATCTGTCTTGCTCCTTTGTACTTTGTTTTTCGTTTGTATTGTGTCTCATTTGTGAGGTACCATTCTGCATTTGTCATCTGTATTAGTGTTATTTGATCTCATTCTGTCGCATTCATTATTACCATTAACCCAGAGATAGAATTTCCATGTAATTCTCACAAACCGAAAATAATCCTCTACACATGACTCAATGCATGCATTTTTGTAAACAGACTGTTATTTTACAATGCTAAACGTCACTGTTGAGATGGAGCAATTACATTTCTTCATCTGTGTGCGATCGAGGGATTATTGTGATCGCAGATTGTTGAAAGGTGGTGCGGCGGTAGCGACTTGGGAAGGCCTTCATCCAGTGGTGGATTGATCGAGGCCGGTGATGACGATGATAATGATGAGGGAACGTCACTTTGTTTTGGTAGAGGTTTTGTTGCGAGGATGTGTTTGACTTTTTGTGCTGTGGTGCAGGGTTTGTGATGCTGTTGCGCAAGGTGCGGAAGCTCCTCCAGCCCTGCCCTTCGTAGGCCTCGGCAACCTAGGCAACACCTGCTACCTGAACAGCGTGCTGCAGGTAACACTCGCACAGTTGCCTACACTCTTGTGGGTCGGTTCCGCAAACTGGGAAACCTCGCTGCCAAACTTTTCCAAAATGTTTAGTTTGTTTTGGATCATCTATACGAGATGCGCAATACAAGTGAGATGACGTCACGTGCAATGATATGAATGGGTGGCAAAGTGGCGCAATGGTAACACTCATGCCTCACAGTAAGAAGGAACTGGGTTTGATTCCCGACTCGGGCGCCTTTCTGTTTGTATGTTCTCCCCCTGCTCTGCAAGGATTCCCTCTTCTTGTGGTTTACTCCCATAGATAAAAACATGCAGCTTATATGAAGCACCAGCTTATGTCCTGGCTCCTGTATCGTTTACTTGAGTGTTATGTTTCAGGTGCTGTATCATTTGCCCGAATTCCGGGTTGACCTCAAACGACTGAACAAACTATCCGAGCGTGAGTTCAAGACAGAGGAAAATTCCGAGGTAAGAAAGTGTTTGTCGACATTCTGTATGCAAGCACAAACATTTATCTACATTGCAGGAACCTCCCTCATAGGCACATAGATGTGCAGCGGAGAATATGCACGCCTATAATCCAGTACTGGAGGCGAGGGTTTGTGAACCGCAGAAATATTGCAAAACTTTCTTTCCTTTGGGTAGTGAGGTGCCATATACACTGGCTAGACAGGCGAAAGCAGTAGTGTGAACAAATATCATCCGTCCCATCTGTATGGGATAGAATGTTGCCCCTTCGCACATGTGGGTTTTTTCTGGGTGCATAAACACTCATTCGATGGCTGATAACGTCTTTAAATAAATAATAAATCACCTAATGCAAGATCCTGAAAAATACTCCATGTGGCATACTTGGGTAACACATGGTACATCCCTTGGCAAATAGATAAAACATATAGGTCAATAACCTACATGCTGTTTTGCTATGCTACTATTCATACCACAATCTCGTGGTTTGCTGTTTTATGCACTTGATGATGGCTGCGTGATCTACCAACCCTAACTTCCCAAGTGCTGGATTACATGCACGTGCCCCCACACTGCAGTAACTATACTCTTTGCAATTGATCTCCGACATGCACTTTGCAGTTCATTTTCTGGACATCATTGCTGATGTCTCTCACCGTTTCCGCGACCTACCGCACTCATTACCAATTTCTATACCCGTTTGTACGATCACCTTTCCACTTAACAGTTTAATAGCCCAGTTAATCACACTTGCCTCCACTTGAAAAACGTACTTGATTCGGTGATTCATTCATTCAAAGGCTGTGTTCGTGGCACCATTCACATGCTATTACAAACTCTTGAGCGGAGTTTGTTTCAGAATCTTAATCTTTAATTAGACTGGAGGAATCCGATAAGCTATAAAGCTTTTTTTCACAGATGTCCACTGTGTATGTACTCCCCCTCATCTGCATGGGTTTTTTCCAGGTTTTCCAGTTTTTTCTTCTCTAAAATAAAACGTACAAAATAACTGGTATTGGCCAAAACATCCCAGTGCTGAAAAATGACACTGCACGTAAATTGATTGGGATTACACAATGCAACATCACCCACTTCTGCAAAATAATTGACAAAACTCTCCTGAAATATAGTTATGAGACTTTTTTGGGAAAACAAGCCGAGTAATAATAATGTTTTTTTTTATTCATGTAACAGTGCCTTGGTAATTGGCAACTGAAATATATTGCAGCTTTAGATAAACACGATGTTGAAAGGACAAATACAGTTTTGACACCTACCCAGGCTGTATGTTCTGGGCTGTGCAATAGTACTTAGATGGATGATCTATCATCAGCCATAATCAATCCACTGCTGGATGAAAGCCTCCCCAAGCCACCGCCATCACCTTTCATGATCCTGTGATGCAACAATCCCATCCATCTAGTGCACATGAACCGATCTCATTGCTCTATCTCCACAGTGGACATTCTGTCGGGTGCATTCTATTCCATGGCTGCCTCTCCGTTACCATTCGTTACAGAGAGCAGACCACTATCCCAGTTGGGTGCTACGTTACCGCAGCATAAGCTCTACGTGTTTCGCATGAGTCTAAAAGCAATGCTTGTGGCACGCGGGGGCTCAGGCGGTGGCGCCCCTCGACGTGTCTCTCCTGCGCAGCCTGGCTCGCCTCATGGAGAAGATGTCTGTGCTACACCAAGAATCACTGGCGCTCGCACCCTACGAGAATCCCGTAACCCACCCCTCCGAGCTGCTCGACATACTGCGGTGAGGACGCCTGGATGTGGTGCGGAATGACACGGTGGCTCAGCAGTCGCGTTATCAGCACTTGTAGCAAAGGTTGCGGCGGTTCAAATCCGGCATCCTTTTACTGTCAATACTGTGGGTGTATGTAAGCCGTAAAATGCTATGCCGTACGCTTCACACTGGACCGTTAAACATCCCAATGACAACATTCGGAATGAGTAGGCCATTGTGTGCCGACATTATGGACCAAAGTCCCCAAATTCAATTAATTACAGTGAGGGAAAAAAGTATTTGATCCCCTGCTGATTTTGTACGTTTGCCCACTGACAAAGAAATGATCAGTCTATAATTTTAATGGTATGTTCATTTGAACAGCGAGAGACAGAATAACAACAACAAAATCCAGAAAAACGCATGTCAAAAATGTTATAAATTGATTTGCATTTTAATAAGGGAAATAAGTATTTGACCCCCTCTCAATCAGAAAGATTTCTGGCTCCCAGGTGTCTTTTATACAGGTGTCGTCTCCACCCCTTTTAATGCCCGGGTCACGTGGTACCTTTCCACCAGTCCTGGTTAACCTCCATGGAATCTTCCAGACTCCATCGTACAATCCCAGGACCGCGCCCCTGACTCGTCCCCCCATTGGCTGTGGCTAAAGCCAGCAGATTCAATCATCTACTTGCAGATGTCACCTTCCCATTATGTCAGGGCCACGCCCCTAGACTTCTCCCCATTGGCTATGGGCCAGGACCGGTAGAGCCAATCATAATGAGGTGTGATCAATCAACCACCCGGATATACCCTCACATTACACAGGTAACGAGCTGAGATTAGGAGCACACTCTTAAAGGGAGTGCTCCTAATCTCAGCTTGTTACCTGTATAAAAGACACCTGTTCACAGAAGAAATCAATCAGATTCCAAACTCTCCACCATGGCCAAGACGAAAGAGCTCCCCAAGGATATCAGGGACAAGATTGTAGACCTACACAAGGCTGGAATGGGCTACAAGACCATCGCCAAGCAGCTTGGTGAGAAGGTGACAACAGTTGGTGCGATTATTCGCAAATGGAGAAACACAAAAGAACTGTCAATCTCCCTCGGCCTGGGGCTCCATGCAAGATCTCACCTCGTGGAGTTGCAATGATCATGAGAACGGTGAGGAATCAGCCCAGAACTACACGGGAGGATCTTGTCAATGATCTCAAGGCAGCTGGGACCATAGTCACCAAGAAAACAGTTGGTAACACACTACGCCGTGAAGGACTGAAATCCTGCAGCGCCCGCAAGGTCCCCCTGCTCAAGAAAGCACATATACATGCCCGTTTGAAGTTTTCCAATGAACATTTGAATGATTCGGAGGACAACTGGGTGAAAGTGTTGTGGTCAGATGAGACCAAAATGGAGTTCTTTGGCATCAACTCAACTCTCCATGTTTGGAGGAGGAGGAATGCTGCCTATGACCCCAAGAACACCATCCCCACCGTCAAACATGGAGGTGGAAACATTATGCTTTGGGGGTGTTTTTCTGCTAAGGGGACAGGACAACTTCACCGCATTAAAGGGACGATGGACGGGGCCATGTACCGTCAAATATTGGGTGAGAACCTCCTTCCCTCAGCCAGGGCATTGAAAATGGGTCGTGGATGGGTATTCCAGCATGAAAATGACCCAAAACACACGGCCAATGCAACAAAGGAGTGGCTCTAGAAGAAGCACATTAAGGTCCTGGAGTGGCCTAGCCAATCTCCAGACCTTAATCCCATAGAAAATCTGTGGAGATAGCTGAAGGTTCGAGTTGCCAAACGTCAGCCTCGAAACCTTAATGACTTGGAGAAGATCTGCAAAGAGGAGTGGGACAAAATCCCTCCTGAGATGTGTGCAAACCTGGTGGCCAACTACAAGAAACGTCTGACCTCTGTGATTGCCAACAAGGGTTTTGCCACCAAGTACTAAGTCATGTTTTGCAGAGGGATCAAATACTTATTTCCCTCCTTAAAATGCAAATCAATTTATAACATTTTTGACGTGCGTTTTTCTGGATTTTGTTGTTGTTATTCTGTCTCTCACTGTTCAAATAAACCTACCATTAAAATTATCGACTGATCATTTCTTTGTCAGTGGGCAAACATACAAAATCAGGGGATCAAATACTTTTTTCCCTCACTGTACATACAATGGTCATTGAATGCCACTAGGCTTCCCTGTCCATGCTCAAGGCCATCCTCTTCTCAGCTTTTGACAGTTTCTCAGCCCACTATTTACGTGCAGAATCTTGAAATTTGCTTATATATGGTCGTAATGTATAGAATTGTTTATTTTTATGTTTAATGAAGTAATGACACTTTGGGTGGTAGATTTGTACCAGAAAGGCACCGCACGTTAACCGAAAATAAATTTAATTCATGTGACTTGACTCCACGAAATCCACTTTGAATAGTAATCTCGTTGTTTTCCTCTCAGGGATCTGAATCCCATGTACTTAGGATACCTCCAGCACGATGCCCAGGAGCTGCTGCGCTGTCTACTCGGACACGTACAAGATGCCTGTGCCTCCATCCTCAAGGACCATGGCCCAGCCCCGAGAGTTGCAGGAGCAGCAGCAGACGGCAACGCCGCCAGTAGCAGCAGTGATGACGAAAATAACGGAGATGACGACGACAAAAAACGACCTATCAGGGCGACCTCGAACAAGTTGGCAACAATTAAAGAGGAGAGGGATGCGAGAAAAGCTGACGAGGATGATAATGGTGGTGGTGAAAAGGAGGGTGCCGACGATGATGGTTTCCTGGCAGAGGGTTCGGACGAGGAGGGGATTGAGGGCAGAGAGGGAAAGCGAAAGAAGTCAACGGCGCTGGGAGGAAACGCCCGCAAGAAGCTGCGCAACTTGAGGCAGACGCGCGCTGGCGCTCAGGCCGAGGGCGAGCGGGAGAGCACCGAGGACGACTCCGTGTACGAGAAAACGCAAGGTGAGGAGTGCCTGAGCACGCACCACATTTAGTTTTCTTTTAGAACATTTCTGTCTTGTTCAAATGTATGTTTAACTTCTTTTGCACCGTACATAGATAGCCATGCTAATACTACACCAAAGTAAACGAATGGCGGAATTTAGCCCGAATTGATTGCCATACTATGCCAAAGTAAAAAGCCACTTAATTATAAAGTAATCGAGTATTCACTTCTGAAAAGTTTGAGGAAGGTACAGTTAATATGATGTATCTAATTTGCACAGGTTCTCTTGTCTACGTGTTCCTTTTTCCATCTCCGTGTAATCCAAAAGACGCACTGCCTCTCCGTGTGACAAAGACAAAGATCCCCTATGGAGCCTTAATAGACTTTTTGGACAAGTGCTGTTAGCGGGCACCTATGCGGGCCGACACTGGACACGAAGGATTGGGTGGCCAGAACCATTGGGAAAATCAGGAGAAACCTGGCAAACTAATGCGCACTTAGAGGCCGGGGCTGTGTTCACCTTGTGCCACACGGTGCCGCGGTGGTGGGATGTTAACTCCCTCACATGGTATGCAGGAGGTCGTGGGTTCGATTCCAACCCTGACGCATGTATATTGGAGTTGGCATGTTCTCCCCGTGCTCGCATGGATTTTTCTCCAGGTCCTCCGGTCTTTCCCACCACATTTATAAACATGCATTTAGAATATTTGACTGATAAATTTCCACGTGATAAGCCACTTCGTTGAGCTATCATTTGTGGCCCAGTTGCTTCTGAAAATAGCTATATATCTCAATGGGCGTTATTTGGTAAAATAAAAAAGGAAAATAATAGGAAATAGCTGTGACACGGGGGGTGGGAGTCCCTGCAACAAGGTGCCTCCAGATCTACCACATGGGATACATAGTATAAATATTAAGTAATGATGATAGAATTGGCTCACGAAATTTATTTCTCTAAGACAAAGGTACTTTGCAAGCCCACTGGCTATCGACAAAGATTCGTTCATGAAGCCATCCATATATACAGACACAATTTAAACCGAGAGGATGGGTACAAACTCCAATCATTGGAAGGATGTCATCAACCAGTTTCAGTCATAACTGGCTGTGATGTTTCCATCTTGTCACCTTCCAATGTTAGTTTTATTTTACTAAAGATGGGACGAGCAATTCCAGTTCCTGTGGTGTCGCCCCTGCGTTGGGCGTACCACAAGTTGTTATTTTCTCCATGCGTCTCCCCTTATCCTGTTTCTCCGATTTCACATTAACATAACCATCCCCGCTTGTGCTGGCCCCCATGGCATTTGTGCCCCGCCTACTTCGTCCTGATACCAGGACGCTTGGGTTACGCCCATTTTAAACCTTGTAAAACAGCTTCCTCCCCCCCTTTTCCACCTGATGACGGTTGCTTGTGTTGCGATCGAAACGTTGTGGTTTTTGTTTATTTTTTAAATGAATTTTTTGACCTATCTACGTGACTTTACCGAAAGACCCAAAGAATATGAATTCCTGCAGTCACGAAAGCTTCAAGTTAAGATTTAGTTAGTGTTAATTTAATTTAGAGAGGCATAGTCCCGTTGTTTTTAAAAACCTCTTGTACTCACCGCAGTACAATGTAGCAACACGACCCCACTGTATGATAGCTTATGCCAAACTGTTCCACGCACGCCTGCATGGCCTTCCGATTCCGTTCCCATGACGTGTACGTCAGAAGAAAAACCGATAACGTTCACGTGCGTCATCAGAATGAGTTCATTACAGGGATTTACCTTTTAATTCAAAATACTTAATGATTTCATGCATTTTTGTTGTCGTGCGTGCACGACCATGATTTTGCGCGCTGTGCTTAGGCCGTTGCTCGCCGCCCAAGCCCAGCAAGCGCCGGCGGCTGGGCGCCTCCCGGCGCGTCCCTGCTCCGTCCATGCTGCACAGCCAGCCCTCCATCCTCTCCAAGTTCCGTGCCATCGGCAAGATCGTGAGTGGGCTCACCTTCCGGCAGAGCGACCGTAAAAGCAGCGGCAGCAGCAGCGGTGACGACCAGTGCTCCAGCACGGAAGCCAGTTCCGCGAGTGGAGCTCATGCTCTCCCTGGTTCGGAGAACAACCGGAACGGAGAGCATTCCGACGGGATCGACGTAAAGGCTTCCCGGAGAGCTGGGGGTGTCGCGCAGAATGGGGAGGAGTTGGGGTGTCGGGATAACGGAAACGGAAGCTCAGACGTGAAATCGCTCTCAGCTGAGAAGTGCTGTCATCCTCTCTCCTGCGATGAAGGCACTCCACGCACACTCTTGCCTTCTGTGGAAACAGGTTTGTGAGATTTTTGTACGAATATAATTTACAGCCTTTTTATCAGCCCACCGTTTTGGTCATGGAACTTGTTTGACTACTTCATTCGAATCACTCACTGTCCCACTGCGTCTCACTCTCTTCCTGTATTTCCCAGTGTCTCATTATGTCTCCATGAACCTCCCTTTGCCTCACTCTGCCTCTCTGTGTTGCTGTATCTCGCTCTGTATCCCTGTGTCTCCTTTTATCTTGTGTGTCTGTATCTCTCTGCGTTTCACCGTGTCTTCCTGTTTCTCCCTGCGTCTCCCTCCACCCCTGCTTGTCCTGCAGGCCCGCACGGAGGCTGCGTGGTGGGCAGGCTCTTCCTGTGTCTCACTGCATCTCCCCGTGTCTCCCAACGTCTCGCTCCGCCACTGCTCCGTCCCACAGGCCGGAGCGAAGGCTGCGTGGTGGGCGACCTCTTCCAGGGGGAGCTTGTTCTGCGCACACGCTGCCTGGAGTGCGAGTGCGGCTCGGAGCGCACCGAGAGCTTCCTCGACGTCTCGCTGCCCGTGCAGGACGAGCACGAGGAGGAGTTGGAGGAGCAAGAGGGTGCCGACGGCTGCCTGCTCAATGCGGACAGTGACGTACTCGGCGGTACGCGCCACACTCGCCCACAAAGACAAAGATCCCCCGTATAGCCTTCACAGACTTTTAGGGCAAGTGCTGTTAGCGAGCAGTGCCTATGAAGGCTGGCACGGAACACGAGGGGGTGGGTGGCCAGTAGTACCACGGCCGACCGCCTTTGTCTCCCAATTTGCGATGTTTATACATTGCACCGGGTATTCATTTTAGGCTGAGTCGCCATAGGGGAGGCTTAAGACCTGCTCAGATATATGTCAACGATGTTGACTTTGAGCAGGAATCGAACTTTGGTCGCCAAGTTTGTAGCACAGCGTGCTAACTGCTGCACTGCTGCTCCTCATACACCTGCCCACGCACACACGCACATCATCATCATTCTCATCATGGTCCAACTCTGCAAATTACATTGCAAATGACTCGGTTGGGATTAAACAGCAATCCTCTCCCCTGACTGGCAGACTAATTCTCGCTCGCAGGCCAGTTGCTAAGGCACGTTGTGCCACACAGGGACGGCTGCCACCCAGGGTGCCCCTTCAAATGTTTTGAGATGAAATGAGATGCGAGTCGCTTATCACGTGGGAAGCGTTCTGAGACATACAGGTGCTATATCAAGCAAAATCATTATTATGTTCATCAACTGTGGTGACGGTCCTAGGAAAACCGGGACTGGTGGCATTCCAAGCTGTGCGATGGATGCGGCAGCACTATCCTCCAGACAATCTGTGCCCGAGCGTTGCTTGCCCTCGTTATCCCATTTGAGTCGCATGTCCTTCCCCTTGCATGAGTCAACACCACTCACTCTTGAATTTGAATAAATGCGTTGTTATAATAAGACTAATTTAACAATTGTAAAAAAAATCTACTTATGCGGTACCACACAGTGTTTGTTTGCTCTCGACGAGAGAGAACGACTCAAAAGGTGCGAGGAGGAACCACAAACGAGCGGGAAGCAGCAGCCAGTCAATGAGCTGGTGCCAGAAATTGCCAAAGCTCTGCAGTCCTCCACAGATTGAGTTGTTTTCAGCCAATTAATGAGTGTTTATATACGTGAAAGGAAACCGGAGCACATTGATAAAACCCATTCGTGCGAGCGGGCAACACTGTCCCATACAGATGGGACAGATAGAGATTAGTCCCCACTTTGTTGTACAACCTACTGACGAGCCAGAGTATGGCACCTCCTTCGACATCCATGGAAAGGGAGTTCTCGCAACATTTGTGTGATCTGCTAACCCTCCCTGCCTCCACAGTGCTGGATTTAACAGACCAAGTGCAGCACAGCCACCACCGCCTGCCAATTAGCATGCGAATGGTGCGAGAAACACAGTCTTTGAGTGAATGAATCACTGAATCACGACTAGCATTGTCCAGTGGAGGCGAGCGGAATTAACGGGGCTATTAAACTGTTAAGTGGGAATGCGATTGCTGACATGGGTAGGAATATTATTAATAGTAAGTGGGGTCCGTCGCGTAAACAGTGAGATACATCTGGAATGAGAGCCAGGTTTTGCGGTAAGGTTTGGACATCGGTCGCAAGAGAAGATACAGCGCTAGCGAGCAGCCCGTCATATAAATGGGGTGACATGACACTCACCTCGGCTTGTTAGGCAATTATTTCTCTCCTGACCCTCATCACTCGGCAATCAGCAATTCACTTGACCCTTGCCACTCACCAGTTTTCGATTCACTTGACACTTGCCAACCATCAGCTCGCCTACCTGTCACCAATTCACCTGGCACTCACCAATCACCAGTCATCAATATTGGGGAAACCTGTTGAAATACAGAAGCTCGCCCACACCTCTCCGCAACAGCGCATGCCTGTTTGTTGTATGATTTTGAAATGGGTCTATCAAGCTGGGGGGCTTGTAATTATTTTAGTGTAATCCGATTAGTCGAACGACAGACCTAATGATCGATTATTACTGAACCAATTCGATAGCCCACCTCAAATCAATATTACAACAAATGGAGGCATTTACAAAGACCTGCAGATACCCGCCCTCCAATACACGGCTCCACTGGCCTACTGACGCTCATGTGTGCATGTTTGCACGTGTGGGGAGCGGTAGTAGAGTGATCAGCGCCCTGCATTATGAACCCGGCGACTGGAGTTCAATTCCCGCTCACTGCTAATAACAGTGACTAATATATGAATCAGTTCTGGGCCTCAACTTGGCCTTAAATATTAGTGCCTGTGTAATGAGAGAGCACACCGACATACGGAGGGCTGCATAGGCATTGCCGCATCGGTCATAGCCAATCAGGGCTACGGGTTCGATCTGGGCCAAAGTTCATGGGCGGAGCTCAGGGGTACATGCGGGAACCATCGAGAAGGTTCTGAAGGGGGCGTGGTTAGAGGCGGGGCTTCGCTCCGCTAAGGAGGATATAAGGAGAGGCAGGAGGAGGACTCGGGGTTCGGTGTGGAAGCCTGGGTCCGCACTGCATCTCCGCCATCTCGTCAGCCACCGACCACGTGGCAGCCGCAGGCGAAGCTCTCCCGATTCCCAGCGCGCCGTCAACCAGCGGTGCGCAGGGAAGCGAGAGCGAGGGAAGCCGCGCGGGAACAGAGGAGCAGAGAGCGCGTGCATGCGGCTAGAGAGAGGGTGACCATCTAAAGGGAGTGCGGAGCCGAGCAGTCATAACTAATAAAGAAAGGACGCAAGTCTCAACGTGTCGTGGAAGTCGTTTATTACACCTGATACACGGTGCAAATATCAGCAGTTGGGAGACAACTGCTCACGTGCGAGCTACCCACCCCCATCATGTGCCGTACCGGCACACGACAGCACTTGTCCCAACAGTGTCTTAGAGGGGACCTTCAAGTCCCGCCTGAAAAAATATCTCTTTCAGAAAGCGTTTCCTATTTGAACTTAGAGCACTTCCTACCCATCCCCCACAGACCCACTGTCATTGATCTAAAGCATTTCCTTGATAATTATTAGGTGAAAGGCACCGTGCGAGCTAAAATTGTTATTCACCTGGCACTCACCACTCACCATTGTATGTATGAATTTCTTTCGCACCGTATGTAGCCAACCTTGCTATTATTTGACTGCTGCAAATTTAAAATAAAATTACTATACATTTCCACGTGATAAGCCACTTTGTTGGAGCTATCATTTGTGGCCAGGACGCTTCTAAAAAAGAGCTATGTAGCTCAGTTGGCCTTACCTGGTGAAATAAAAAATAGTTGAGTTCTTATTTGTGCGGTCGTGCCTGCGTGTGCAGTGTCGCCGGAGCCCAAGGCCGGCCGCAAGTCGGTGCAGTGGGCGCTGGCACGGTTTGCGCGTGCCGAGCGGCTCGTGGGGCGAGACAAGTACTTCTGCGAGACGTGCTTGCACCACGCGGAGGCGGAGCGCACCCTGCGCTTCGGGCGGCTCCCCCGCATCCTCACGCTTCACCTCAAGAGGTTCTCTGCCATCGGGTACTGCCGCTGCAACCGCTACTACCAACGCCGCCACTACCATCCACCCCGCCCACTGTCACCGCCTTCACCACTACCGCTGTCGCAATCACTACCGCTGTCGCAATCAGCGACGTCACCACCGCAACCACCAGCGCTGTCACCGAGGACTCCACCATCTCTGCCGCTGTCACCGAAATTGTCAACACTGCTACAACCGCCGCCGCTACCAACACTCACCGCAACCGCCACCACTACCAACGCTGCCACTATCACCACCGCCAATTTTACCGCCTTCGCCACCTCCATCACCACCACGATCCCCTGCAATATCAAAGCAACCACTACCGTCACCCCCATAACCACTGTCAACCCAATTTCATCATAAGTGACTGCCATGATTGGAACCCAGGACCTCAGCTCTGACATCTACCTGGTCATGTTTACCTGTTTTCTTTACTGAGATCAATCTTTAACCTCAGCATTTTACTTGACATGTATGCTCTACAATGGCCTGGATTTGAACCCATTCACTGACTAGGCATGCAATTACGCATGGCTTCATCTATTAGAATTGATTCTAACGCTTACCGCATTGTATGTGCGAGAAACCGTTGTTTGTGATTTACGTACCTATTTGCAAGTTCCTGGACAATGCTAAATTGATACATTGAGGTTAATTGAGCAGACCAAACTGTACATCTGAGACAGGAATAATGATAAATTATACAAATGAGACGGTAAAACCGAGACAAAATGGAATTTACCCTCTAACTGAATTGGTACCCCCCCCCCCCCCCCCAATCATGAGAATTCCCCAAATCGCCATGACGACAGGGGGTTGGTGGGCAGTGAATTGCTACATTCACATTTAGTGGCTTGGTTACCTTTCCTATACTTTGCACTCCTGCCGGGTTTTGCATTGTTGTTGTAACTTTCTGACCCGCCCCGACTGGACGTCTGTGAAAAAGAGCTTCAGAGTTCATCGGCTTCCTCCAGTCTAAATAAAGATTCCGATTCTGACTAACCACCATTGCAACCTGCGTCCCCCCTCCCCACCTCCCTTCTCTCAGCCTGTGCCCGGTGGTTGGCGCCACCAAGGTGACGGCCCCGGTGCTCACCCCGCGCTGCCTTTCCGTATCCGAGTGGCTCGTGGGGGGCCCCCGGTCTCGCCTCCAGGTCCCGCTGTACCGCCTGACAGCGCTCATCACCCACAGCGGGAGCTCGGCCGGTGCGGGTCACTACACGGCGTACGTGCGCGTGGGCTCGCCACGTCTACTTGGCCGCGGCGGTGCGGGGCCCAGGCGTGCGCTGTATGGCGCAGGTGACCCCGATTGTCCTCGCGGTCGCGATTGTTACAACGGCTGCGAGGGCGGCGGTATTGAGGCCAGTGGTGAGCGAGATGGCGTGAAGACGGCCGCTTCGCTGGCGGTCAATGGTCGCCCTGTTACATCGGCAAAGCCCGGACCCAAAAACGGCTCCGAGATGAGTGAGGGGAGCAGGAGAAACGCTTCCCTGTGCGCCGCCAATGGCGCTGGACGCGGAGGACAGCGTGAGGACGGGCGGCGCCGCAGTGACAGTCTCACAACCCAGCAGACTGCAGCCGTGAAGGCAGCAACGGTGGGGGGACATAACGGAGGCGGCTATAAAGAAATCGCGGCGAGGATGGCGCAAGCGAAATTACCGCCAGCAGACGGGCTGGGAGCGTGTGGGAGGGAGCGGCTCGGAGGAGAGAACCACGGGGACGAGCGCAAACCTCCCTTGCCCGGCTCCAGGCCGCTGCTCGGTAAGAAGAAGAATTTCGGCAGGTCGGCGCGAACCGTGGATTTCACCGAAGTTAAGAGTGCGGCAGCAGCTCTGGCAACGGCGAACAGTGCCAGCGATCGGCAGTGGGGAGAGCACGGTGCTGCCGGTCGACCTTGTTCCGGCAGGACCAGCGACGACGGTGCTGATGTTGATGATGGCGTTGTTGGTGCAATGGCGGGCGAGTGGGAGGGTCGCTGGCTGCGCTTTGATGACGCTGAAGTGAACGACGTGAGCGAGGGAGAGATGGCATCGCTGCTAGTGCCCCTGGACAATGCTAGTGCCACCCCCTACCTCCTCTTCTACCGCCTCAGCAGTGAGGAGGAGGAGGATGAGGAGAAGTGGGAGGAGGAGGAGGAGGCGCGGTAGTTTGCGCTGCCCCGGGGACCTTTGATTTCTCATTGATTATTTTCAGTAGCGTACTGGGTTGCGCATGAGAGAGTACCCGCAGCAGCTTCCTGCAGCAACAACAACACTCCAGGAAACTGATGTTACATGGGACCGGACTTCATTAGCCTCATGTAAAACGAGCTGCAACGCATTTTTATTAAAAGAGAGGCCGCGCAGAAAGTGTTTTAGGAAGAGCTATACAGTGGTGTTAAACTGCTGTATAAAAGGTAATTTTTACACTCGTCCAACAGATAAGCATGTAAAGATGTATTCCTTTCTTCGCCACCTGGTCATTAAATCCAATATCCGGTTCTTTGTTTTACCGAATTAAACAACATGATTTTTTTTCCCCCTCCTGCTATCGGGGTGATGTTTTGAGACGATTAGTTATTTGCAGTGTTTTGCAAGGCAACACTGCAAGCCCCTTTTTGTTAAACACCGGCCCACGGTAGCAGATATTCCAGCACTACATCTTGAAGATTCCTTCAGGTGACCTCTGGACAACATCGTAACGGGCGGCACTCTCCCATCCACTCTCCTACTGAGAGTAATGTTCGTTGCGTGATGATCAGACTCAGCATTGGAATTCTCAGCTGGAATTTATGGAAATTTAAGGTGCTGAACCAAATTTAGAGTGACAAGGCTTGTTGACCGGTCTGACACCATGAACGCATGGTCTCAGACCCGGTTTATAAATGGTTATTTCTTTTACATTGTGGTATAGCAGCCACTAGTGGCTGCAAAGGTCACACGTATCGGCCCGTAAATTGCATTTTACGCACACAAATCTAAATGCATTGATTATTACGCAATGCGTGCGTCCCGAGAGATGAATCGATCCGAATGGATGTGGGTTACGCTTTGGTTTAATGCAATGCACTATAAACCCGGTCACCTGAGTTTGATTCCCAGTTATGGTTAACATTAGCACTGCTCCTGATCCCCTCTCCCCTTCAACCTGAATGACCAGAGTGGTGAAATATGATCAATAACCCCCTCCCCCCCATGGCTCACAGCATGTGGAGGCCATCATCCTGCAGTGGTTTGACAGAGCTGTACATATACTGTACATACAAACATAGATGTGTATATATTTTTATATATATAATTGTTCACTCACAACTTCATGCATATACCAACATCATGAGCCATTGTCGATCCACTGCTGGATGAACGGCTTCCCCAGCTGTTGCCATGCCTCACTCGCTATGATACAACGCTGCAGCTCGCAACTACGCACGAGTCGATCAGCACTCCATCTCTGCTGGAGACGTCCTCTTGGATGTGTTAACTCCTTTGTCCCACCAGTTCATTGTGAGGGCCATCACCACTTGTGTTTTTTGTTATTATAATTGCTGTTTGGTGAATCGATGCATCACCTCTGCTGTTGTTGGACGAAGGTAACGGGATACTAACTCGGTCGCCTGTTATAAAGGAGTTTGTGGGTTCGATGCCGACCCTGATGCCTGTTGTATATTTGTAGTTTGCGTGTTCTCCCCGTGGTCGCATGGATTTTTCTCCAGGTCTTCTGGTTTTTTCCCTCCACATTTAAAAACATGTTTTTAGAGTTTTTGGCTGCTAGGAATGTTGACATAAGCCACTTTGAGCTATCATTTGTGGACAGGTCGCTACTTAAAAAAAAGCTATATAGCTCAGTGGGCTTAACCTGGTAAAATAAAAATAATTGAGTTTAGTTCTTATTTGGTTGCTTTGGCCCCTTGTCCCCTATATATCAAGGTGCCCACTCATCGCTGTCGCACGTCTTCCTGGGGTTGTCGCACCCACCGAGCGGGTTGTCCGCTCACCGCTGCCTCCATCCGTCGTCTCGCTCATTTGTCGCCGCCCGGGCTCGTTCGTTGTGAACGACGCGTGCTCCCCAAGTGCACTTGGCCGTCGCATTTCGTGAACAACGAGGTGAAACGACGCGGAGTGGGGAGACGTCCCTCGGGAACTCGTGCGACCGAGAGGTGGCCATGTCCCATCGAGTGAGCGCAGTTGCCAGCAGTATCACTATAGTCGCAGTAGGAAGGGGGGGAAATGGTGGCGAAGTGTAAGCATACCTGGAGTTTATCCCTGGGACCGTTTTCTTCCGGTATAAAAGTATTAAAAATAAGAATAAGTTTTTTCCGTTGCTGGCAATAAAACAGGAGGTGTTAAGATATTCAATCACCAAATAGATACCTTTTGCAAGGTTTCAAGTCTGCATTAACCTCACATGCTTGTGGCAAAACATGCATGTTAAGATGTTTGAACATCTTAACACCTGTTTTATTACCAGAAACGGTAAAACTTTTTCTTATTTTTCATACACCTGAGTTTAATCATTAGGAGAGTGGCGAGGTCGTATGACTTTTTTCAGACGCGGCCCGCTTTGGGTTTTTTTTAATGTACGTTGAACTTCTTTTGCACCGTATGTAGCCAACCATGCTAATCAGAGATACCAGGGAAGGACAACATACCAAGCACAAAAATCCGCTCTTAAGAAGTTAGCTTTCGGCCTATGTTATTTAAAAGTGCATAGCTCCAGTGGCTTCCTAATATCGGAAGGAAGAGCGTACCAGATGACCGCAGAAGCGCATCTGAAAGCGTACAATGCAGTAATTATTTTTTGCATGGTTAGCCAAAGTGATTCTTTAAACATATGGGAGGAAACCGGAGCACCCGAATAAAACCCACACATGCAAGGGGGCAACACCCTATCTCAGTACAGATGAAAACTGATGGCAATTAGTCCACTTGGTGAACGGCCTTCTGGCCAATCAGGGTATGGCACTTCATCGACGCCCACGGGACGAGAGTTTCGCGATTCACCAACCCTCTGCCTCCACAGTGCTGGATTACAGGCCACCACTGCCCAACCACCGCTAACTTGAGATACCAGGATGTAATGCTCGACCTTATAACCCGGATTAGGACCTGCTTTTTTGCCCTGTTTAAAGCAAAAATTTAGGGTTCTTCATAATCCTGTAGTTGTGAGTGTGTGTTGTAGTTTGTCTTGTTAGGAGCGGTCACGTGGGGTTAACGCATCATGCTACAAACCCTACGACCCGAGTTTGCTTTCCGCTCATAGCTGGTGCAGTGTTGGAGAGACAAAGGCGGTCAGGTAAGAGCTGACCAAACCCACCCACTGGTGTGCTGTACCAGCCTTAATAGGTGCTCGCTAACAGCACGTTCTGCAAAATGATTAAATGCTGTATGGTCGATCTTTGTGTTTGTAAATTTATTGACACTGGGCACAAGATTTGGTTGCACCTTTCCAAAGTGTCTTAGAATACAGAGAATACGGTAAATTCTGCATTTAAAGAAATGCACTTGAGAAGCAAACGTACTCAAATTACCCAGTTATTGAAGAGACGTGCCAAGGCAGTCATTTAAATCCCTTTATTCAAAAAGAAAGCAACACCTTATCTTGTCGCTATATTTCTAGGCTGTGGGAAGGCCTCCCTTGCCCATTACCAGGTCTCAAAACATGCTGTAATGATTGGTTAACCACGTTACTTGTATATGTGTCCATTTTACTACGCTGCACTGGATAAAGTGGATTTAAGGGTAAATACATTTTTGTTATTTAGCAGAGGTGGCCAGGTGGCTTAGAGGTCAGCACCGAGCCAGTGTTCAGCTGCTTGTGACTGCACCGGGTTCTCGGTGCAGTGAGGCTATCGTCTCAGCCCGGTCACCAATAACTGCACGAAAAAAAGATCCATCGTGAAATGTACTATTGGACTTATAAATTAAACGGCCATCATTGGCTAAATTGCAACTTTGAATATAAAAAAATCTATCCGTTTGACTTTCCTACTGTATGTGTGAACCATAGGTTAAAACTGCGCACAAATTACTCGATTGGGTTCATACATAACGATCGTCGCTCCCTAATTGTAGACTAAAGCCCTGGAAATAGTCGTTGTCGCATGATGAATCGTACCGGGTTTATACGTGCAGTCGTTAGTCACCATGGTGAGACCATCAAGATCAATTGCACTGTTTTTGGGCTCCTAGATTGTTCAAACACAGCGTCTCCGCAGTGCTGGCTTATCTCCGTTGACAGTCCTGAGTCGTTAGTGTAAATTGTATACCTCGACAGATCCAAGTACTGTTTCTGTGTAAATCATAACCTTTGCAGACACTTTAGCAACCCATGAAAGAAGATGATGGACTCAGTCTACCACCCACCGAGATGTGACTTCACGATCTTTCCGTTTATAAATCAAGTCCACTCGCCACACTGCCACCCAACTAGACGGTAACTAGGCAATAAATATAACACATGGTGCTGTTTTTGTTCATCGGTATTTATATACTTGTGACTAAGACTGTTATATACTCTGAAAATAGACCGCAAACTGATAGTGCAATGTGTTGCAAATTCAGTGGATGTATTGCACGAATGACGAAGGGGCAATCCTTTAAATATAAACGCGTGCCTGTAGCAAGGTGTTCTTTTGAACCTTGGGAAGTGGTTAACGAGGGGTGGGGTGGGGCTAGAGATAGGAGCGTTTGCTATTTCGTGTTGCGGTACCAAGTGACACACAACATCATAGCAAACCTCGGACGCGTATTTTTTAAATTGGAGTTTATTCGTGATATTCAAAACTATTTATGCAAGGTTACGTGAAAGTGAGTCTCGATGGTGGCTTTGGATGTATTCTGGAGGGTGAGTGTAAGTCATTCTAGGGAATATTGCTCGTTATATTTTATCCTGTTGTAATCGTGTTTTATCATCGGTTAACCTTTTTCGTTCAGTAAAAAATATCCTCTATTTCACTTGCGTCGTTGGGTTTTTTGTGTGTGCATGAAACGTGTGCCAGAAATTGAAAGGTAATATTTCGTGTATGGTTATGCTTTGAACTTTAATATCGGTCGGTACTTTTTAAGAATCATAAATTGTCTTGAAGTGAGGATATAATGGATGGAAGTGGTGATGCAATGGTTGGTACACGGCACTTTGAACCGGACTTCACATGATTGATTTCTGGTTAAGTGTAATCTTCCTAATTCACCAACTCGCACTGACCAACGTGGTGAGGTACGGGTAAACAATCTTGACAAATAGACTAAATTATCGTGGTCGAACATTGTAATTGTTTTGTAAGATACGGAACCAATGTATTCACATTCTTATGCAGTCTCGGAAACTTCCGATAGGCCCAGTATGGGTATAATAGGTGCTTGATAACAAAACTCTCCACGGTCGAATATATAAAGGACGCACGCGTGGAGTAGAGAACTTCCGTGAGTTTGTGAGAATTTAGTAAAGTGGGTTCGAGCAGGGGACACAGGTCATGGCTAGAGGGGACGGTCCCTTGGCTATTGCTCATGTGTCGTACTTCTTGACACACAGGAGACTTGTAGAACCAGACGGAGACGAGGATTCTTACTTAAGGCTGTTTGCCGCTTATTCACACTCTTACACACTCTGTCCACTGTACACTCACTGGTTGTTACACCATCTGCACTCGACGCTTACACCCGTTATGGCGCACGTCAGAACTCTGTCCTTTACGCGGACAACCCTTCAGCCATCTACGCCCCGGTACGGCTCCCCTTTGTCTACCCCCTCGTCTGCCCGGGCGGGGGATCACCCATCGCCGCCTGGCGACGAGGTGAGACCTCTACATCTCTAGCCCTTCTTCGGCGGCGAATGGGATGTCGTCCACACAGGCTCTTGTTCCTCTCCCAACGGAAACCACGCCGTCACGGGGTCCCCCTGAAGTACCCCTTGGCGGCTCTTCCCCCTAAGCTTGGACCCGCCTTTGTTCCCGAAGGTACCCACCCCTCCCTTACAGCACCCGTGACATGACGTCATCCTCCGCTGTCAACTCGCTCGCACCTCCCTGTGTACGCTCCCTCACGGTTGCTCACTCTACATCACAACAGACTGGCAGCCAAAGTAGTGAATATGCCTGAGACCATCCACCACGCATATGGAGTGATGCTATGTAAAATACACTAGCTGTACCGGGCGTAACATGCCAATCTAGCTGATTTTATCTTCTTGCTTCTTTCGGTAAAGTCACGTAGAAGGGAAATAATAAAATAATAAAAATAAAACATAATAAAATACAATTATCACGACGTTTCGGCCACAACGCAAGCAGCCGTCCTCAGGTGAAGAACAGGGCTGTCCGAAAGACAGCGTCTGAATGAACACCACCAAGCTTGGCAGCGTATATTTAAGCTGGGTTAGAGGAGGAGGGCGCCTTGACAAATGAATTTGCGTATCAATAGAGGAATTTAGCATATTTATTGAAAATGCTGATATGGGTTTAGTCACTACTTGTGGAATGTGTAGGTGGTGGGGGGAGGTCTTCAAGTCATGCTCCTGTATTATGTAGGATTAGCAGTAATAAAGGGAGGAAATTTTAATAGTAAGGAGCTGCAGCAGCCAAACTACCACGTAAAAAACTAAAATATAAGCTAACATCAATATACTCAATATACTCTCCAATAAGCTGAGCTACTAACAGTAAGTCATACATACACGACATAGAATTGTAATGTATGATCTTAATTGAACATTCACGCATTTCTTTACTTACATTTTTGAATCAAAATATTTCTAAAGACACAATTGTCAATTTCTGGGTTCTTTTCTGACACTACACTAAGTGAATCAAACGATATGGCTCTTGATAGAGCAACAATTGTATGGGGAATTATTTTCATTTGAAACGATGAAAAACTTGTGTGATGAAATGAGTGGGATTCTTGGATTCAGTACCATGTCTGAGTTTGCTGCACTAATATTTTTTGCTTTGTGTGTATTCGAGTAAGAGTAAGTCTTGTACCATTATATATTCCTCTCAATGGCATTGGGTTTTTAAGGAGCATAATAATGGCTCATACTTAACGTTTCAGTTCATGAGGAGGCATTCCGGTAGGAGTAAGGCTGTTTATTAACTCTTCTGGGAATGCAAGTTGAATAGCAGTATCATCACAATAGTATCCACGCATTTGAAGACCACTACAGCTCCATTAATATTGCCGAGTGCTTTACTGTTAAGATCAAGAGAGTCTTCGTTTCTAACACTCAGTATTGCTATTCCTTTAAGTTGTTTAGGAGTAACTATAGACACACTCTTTGGTTCTTTCGGTAAAGTCACGTCGCTAGAAAATTATTAATAGATCACGACGTTTCAATCGCAACACAAGCAACCGTCTTCGGGTGAAAGAGAAAGCTACTGAAACAAGGTCTTATGTCGGCTTGAGATGGGTGGCATAATGAGTTGCTTTAAAATTTTGGATTTTGATCAAAGTTTATTTGTGTGATACAATGTTTGTCAAAATTATAGTCAATCATTAGTAGTAGAAGGCAAAATGTTGATAATGATGTCATTTAAGCTTGTCATGAAGTGTAGAACATGTGCAAGTGTTTTGAGTATAATTACTAAATCTGTATTACTAGCTCTTTCTACTCGTATCCGTGTTGAACTGTTTTTTAAGAACAGTTGACTGGAAAGTGATGAAAAGTTTACCAAAACCCATTGTTTTTTTCTCACCTTCCTATGGCAACTTCTATTCTTGGTGGCAGTATATTAGTGGAAGGAAACATAAGTACATACATGACATGTACATGTAATAGCTAGATACAGATAATAAAATATATCTTTGGTTATCCCCAGATAAAATAAAAGCGTAGTATATTGGTAAAAAATGATTTCGAAGGTGTTTGTCAAGTGTTTGTAATTGTGAAGTATTCGGAATGACGGCAGGAAACCACTTGACGGGTAGCACACTCTTTTATTAAATCTTGACTTGTTACGATACAACGTGTGGTCTCTATTCTCACACTACACACTCCACTGACACGTGTGGTCACTACTTCTCCCACTACACACTCCACTGACACGTGTGGTCACTACTTCTCCCACTACACACTCCACTGACACGTGTAGTTACTATAGCTTACGCTGCATGCTCACACTGCATGCTCACACTGCATTCCAGTCCCGTAACGTCCATGGAGCCTACAGACCCACCCCAAGCTTGGGCGTGGGTCACAACCTCTGGGTCCCGCGAGCCGGCCCTCACACGGACGTTCGGCCCCGGGTCCCAGGGTCCCGCCTCTGGGTCACACAGAGCCCCGGTCCTTACAAGGACAGCGGAACTAGGTGCCGCAGGGCCCTATCTCTTCCTCCGCCGTCTTCAGTCTTCGCTGGTCACCAACTCCCCGAGCGCCCGCGCGCACCGCCTTATATAGCCCTCTTGCGGACCGCGATGTGAGCACCCACTAGTCGACCAATCACGGCGCGCTGTTCCTACGATCCATTTTCCCAGCGCGTGTTACCACTCCACAACCAATCGCCCCGCGCTGCCACACGATCACCCCCTGTCAGCGCGCGTCACCAACACACAGCCAATCACCACCACATAACCCATGACCCCGCGCTGCCCTGTGATCCCTCACCGTCAGCGCGCATCACCGGCACACAGCCAATCACCACGCGCTGCCCCACGATCCCCACTGTCAGCGCGTATCACCACTACATCACCCCCTCCCACATAGCTCGCAGCCGGCCCGGCTGCTAAACAACACAACAACAACAACAATAGTAACACAACAAACCCCAACCCCCCCAACAACACAATGACATAACACCAAACAACAACCTATGTACAAACCGACAACAACACAATAAAAAAAACAACAACAACACACAACACCTAGACAACAAGTTATGTACAAACCGACGAACAACACAATAAAAGCAAGTCCGAGAAAAGGAACGTGTCCAGTGTCTCTGTGACTATCGATCCCCCCCCCCCGCTCCGCTCGCTCCTCCACCGGGATGATGGAGCGGTCGAGCGGAAGAGGAACGCAGTGACGAGGCGCTCCGGCCGCATCGGCCCCTCATTCGGTTGGTCAAGAAAAGTTGCGCGACTGAGCGCGAGTCCGCCTGGCCGGTCCATCGTATGGTACGGGACGCTGACGACCGTCTGGTGGCTCCGGCAGCCCTGGAAGGCGCGGATCGGGCCTGGAAGGACCGGGCGCGCCGCGGGGATCCGGCCGCCGGTGGTCGGCAGCTGTCAATTCCGAGACACCTGGGAGCGGATCAGGCGGAGACATGTGAGGATCAGGCGGAGACATTTCCCCCCTCGGGTCGTCGGTCACGTCACATGCTCGGCCCTCATGACACAAAGGGAGGCCATATGGAGGCGAGAACGGTTTCAGTCGGGAGGGGTGGACGTACCAACGGCGCTTTCCCCATTTTATCTGAACACACTGGGGGCGTGCAACCCGCACGACCTCCACGGGTCCCCGCCATGGCTTCAACAATTTAGGCGACGTAGCCAAAGGTGCCTGAGGGCAGTGCAGCCAGGCCCTATCGCCTGGTTTCCAGATGTGCACGGACACCTTCCGTGCACGCAAACGCTCGTTGGCAATTTGGCGAGCCCGCGAATTAAGCCGTGCAGCCTCCCTTGCCTCGGTCAGCTTATGAATGTTAAATTTAATATATTCAGCCAATTTCTAATTCGTTCGTGGCGCGGATAGTCCCAGCTGCGTTTCCATGGGCGGGTCGGCCTCCCGACCATACATCAGATAGAATGGGGAAAATCCCGTTGCTGCATGGGGGGCCATTCTATACGCGGCGAGGACCCCCGGGACCTGCAGGTCCCAGTCAACATGTGCCTCGCACACCTGCTGGCACAGCATAGAAGTCAAAGTCCTGTGGAGTCGCTCCACCATCCCGTCTGTCTGTGGGTGGTACGGGGAGGTACGCACCTTCTTAGTACCCAATAGGTCGCACACCTCTTGCA